AGCACACACCCCTATTTCCCACCTACATAAAAAAATGGAACAACATTGTTCACACACATGCTCCCACACACCCTGATAATAGGGCCTAACCAAAGTCCACCTCTCCCAACTACCAATTCTATGAATGGATCCTGGAAATAAGAAGATACAAAAAAAGCAAAAGCATTAAACATATGGTTGTAACTAACCTAATAGTAGCCAAAGAGTTTTCAGAAAACAGTATCCAATGTAATGTGAAGTATGGACTGTTGTATATATTGATAGTGTCCCCCGTATATCAAAGTCCAGCTTGATATTCTATTCAATCACTTTGCATAGGACATGCATATAGCAAGAAAGCTGTAGCCAAAAATCATGCAGGGTATAGGTTACAGATTTACGTACCGGTCTGAAAAATGTACATTAATTTGTTGCATTAAGGCATGTGGGAGGCGGCATGTCCATACTGGACAGTCCATCCTCAGTGCCAGTTCAGCTACGGGCCGTAGAGGGTTATTGGTTGCTAGGATGCTGTCAGCTGCATATATTTTATTAGTTGCTAGGACACTGTTGACAGAGTCTTAGCAACCAATGCTGCTATGCAGCCAACAGTGTCCTAACAACCAAGAAGACTTACAGCATCCTAGCAGTAACAGGTGGTGGGGAGGGTGTGTATGCAAACATTCCCTGTCTACGGCCCGACACTGAGCACCCTGGGCTGCCTCTGTACGCCAGTTAAAAGTTGGTCTTAATTTACTCCACTGCCCTTACCTACGAACTGGCAGTAATTCTTTTTGAATTTGTCACAATCATAGTGACACATTGTTAAAGTGCTACAAATAAGAACTACTGTACCTGAGTCTGTCACAAACTTTTAACAAAACTGTCGCAAGGCTTTCAGGAATCAGGCACTCTTTAAGAAACCATACTACCAGAAGAGTATTTCAAATGCCATTTTGAATTTCCCACAGTATACAGTATCTCATCTACAATATAAAGTCTCTCAGTTAGTAGCAAACGTAGCTGGGGGTGGTGGTCCAGGAGCACTTGCCATAATCTGCAGAGAATATGTACACATTCTGGACGACTTACCTTGAGTTTGACCTCTCCCGGCTAAAACAGGTCCACTCTTCTCCGTAGGGCTGCAGCTAACGATTATTTTCATAATCGATTAGTTAGCCGATTATTACGTTGGATTAATTGGTTAATCAGATTTAAAAAAAAAAAGGCTCCAGTGATGGACTACTAGTTTGTATTGAGATTGTAGTCCATCACAGGAGCAAGCTTGGAGCGTTGGAAGTAAAAAAAAAAGTGTGGTGTGTAATATAGTACATTATACAGCGGCACAATGCAGAATACCAGCAGCTTTAGAGGAATACAGCAAATCGCAGCAATAGTACATTATACTATAATGTACTATTGCTGGGATTTGTAGTCCTCTGTAGCTGCTGGTATTCTGCATTGCACTGTATATAATGTATTATTGCTGGGATCTGATGTATTCCTCTATAGCTGGTGTTATTGGAGAGGGCGGGTATGATGCAGGAATAGAGGACGGGTATGATGGTGGAATGAGGTGCAGAGGACGGGTATGTTGACGGAATGGAGAGGACGGGTATGATGGTGTAATGGAGTGCAGGGAAGGAGAGGACAGGTATGATGGTGTAATGGAGTGCAGGGATGGAGAGGACGGGTATGATGGTGGAATGGAGTGCAGGGATGGAGAGGATGGGTATGATGGTGTAATGGGGGACAGACATTGGGTATGATGGTGGAATGGGGTGCAGAGGATCGGTATGATGGTGGAATGGGGTGCAGAGGATGGGTATTATGGTGGAATGGGGTGCAGAGGACGGGTATGATGACGGAATGGAGAGGACCGGCATGATGATGGTGGAATGGAGTGCAAGGAAGGAGAGGACAGGTATGATGGTGGAATGGAGTGCAGTGATGGAGAGGACGGGTATGATGGTGGAATGGAGTGCAGGGATGGAGAGGATGGGTATGATGGTGGAATAGGGGACAGACATTGGGTATGATGGTGGAATGGGGTGCAGAGGATGGGTATGATGGTGGAATGGGGTGCAGAGGATGGATATGATGGTGGAATGGAGTGCAGGGATGGAGAGGATGGATATGATGGTGGAATGGAGTGCAGTGGACGGTTATGATGATGGAATGGAGAGGATGGGTATGATGATGGAATGGACTGCAGGGATGGAGAGGATGGGTATGATGGTGGAATGGGGTGAAGGGATGGAGAGGATGGGTATGATGGTGGGATGGGGTGCAGAGGATGGGTATGATGGTGGAATGGGGTGCAGGGATGGAGAGGATGGGTATGATGGTGGAATAGGGTGCAGAGGATGGGTATGATGGTGGATTGGGGTGCACAGTGTCGGGTCCCAGGCTCCAGGGTGCTCGGGGCACTTACTGCCTGAGCATTCCCTCCATGTCTTCTGCTGAACGGTTCAGCCTGGATGCCAGCTCGTCCCCAGCCATAGTCTCTGTCCCCCGGCTGACACCTGTCGTGCTCACATCCCCGGCACCCGTTATGTGATCGCACCGGCCCGGCTAGATGTAAGGAGGACCGGGATTGGAGGCTGAACCGCAATGTGTGCGGTGGGCGCGGCGTGCACGTTCAGTGGGCGTGGCGTGTGTGGAGCCGCAAACAGGCAATGGAATAGATAGCCGACTAATCGACGATCAAAGACGTTTTCTAACTTTGATTTTAATCAACTAAATCGTTGATGCAGCTCTACTTCTCCGAACCTTCTTCCGCACTGTTTTCCTGCTACGGTCACTGGTTAACCAGTGGTAATACAACTACTGCGCATGCATGATGGAGATGCATTATTACGTGCATTATGTGCATTATCACTGCACTGTGTATGCACCAAAGCGTACAAGAAATACAATTCTAGAAAAACAGACTTCAGTTCCACTTTAAATTGTGGTAATTGTATCATAAGCAGATTGGTTACAATAATCAAAGGCAAAGAGGCAGGATCGCTAAAGAGTCTTCCTGCCTCTATGGAATCCCTCCCTCTGTTGCCACATGCGGCGAGATGTGGCTCTTTTGCTGCCCCAAACAATGCTGAATCTTGATCTCTAGTAATGGGAGCGACAGTGTGCTTCCTCATCTACAGAGCGAGGTGAGCAATTCTATGGGGACAAACAGGCAGCCTTTTTAGTGATCCTGCTGCTGGCGATTATGACAATTCACCAGCGACAGGATTGCTAGCAACAGCACACATGTTGGTAGGAGATTGTACAATCAGTTTTTAACAAGTAGTGATGTGTGAGTGCTTGGTGCAATCCGAGTTCTCCCAATTCAGTGCAAAACTGTCAGGGAACCCCCATCCCAGCCCAATTAGTCATAGACAGGGCATTCCTCAGCCCTCAGCGCCACGCAACAAAGGGGAATGTATTGGCTTCAACTGATTGGCGGACGGGCTGGTTGTCACTGAGCTGTGTGAAGATGGCACCCCATGTTTGTAAAACATAAATAAAAATATGCCAGTAGTTTGTGCTGATTTGTGCCTCAAAAATTAACATTTGTGCTGCTGGTTTGGTCTCTGAGATATTGCGCATTCAATTTAATCCAAGGCCCACCCACTTTGCACCCCATGTTATTGAATTAGTTTTTGCTGAATTGTACTGCAAAAACAAACCTTTGTGCAACTTTGGTTTCAGAGAAATTGTGCATTATAGTTGCTGAAACCCCGCTCCCTTTGCACCCCTTGTTAATCATTTTTAAAAAAAAATATACCATTTACCATTCTAAAAAGTCGGGCACTCAGTCATGGACCGAGAGTCTGACAGTGTCAGGAGAGAGGAGGGGACCCGGCGGCATACCTCATTCCGCTGGGTACACGTCCCCTCCTCTCAATTAGATGGTCGCGCATGTGCGATGATGTCACGCGCATTGCGCAATGACGTCACAACGGGGTGTCACTTGGTCTCCGGCCGCGGGATGCCCCTGCGTTGGGGTCACCACAACATTGCAAATGTTACCAAGAGGTCCCGGCCCTAGAAATGTTGAGAACCACTGCTTTAAGTAGTGACTTTCTACTTATTCACTTTGCAGTTACGTTGGTTAAGCCAGGGGTAGGCAATCTTTTGGCCCTCTAAATGTTGTGGACTACATCTCCCATAATGCTCTTACAACCATAATGCTGTCAAAGCATTAGCAGAGATGTTGTCCACAACATCTGGTGGGCTGAAGGTTGCCTACTGTATTAGCCAGTATGTTTCCCCCTTAAAAACCGAACCAGCACAAACGTTCATTTTTGCAGTACAAACGAATGGTATATTTTTATTCAGGTTTTTACAAACATGGGGTGGCAACTTCTCACTGTTTTGCGTGGGTTTGAGCAAACTCGGTTCACCTCAATCCCACACACATCTCTACCTTTCACATAATATCACACATAGGGTGGCAACCCTATGTACAGTTCATGCCAAAAATGATTGGTTAACCCCAGAATCTTTTTCCACCATGTTTTCCTTTATATTGGCTTTTCAAAATAGATGATAATTAAGAGATAAAATAAAAGTTTTAGTGCAAACAAGAGACACTTTGGTTGTATGAACATCACTACCAACATGTAGTGAAAGAGTCTCCCTGATTGGATATACGTTGATTGCATACAGGTGTAGTAAATCTACAATTGATTGTATAGCGAGTCAAGCAGATTTATTTATTTGAGAAATGTCCTGGCACTGGGCAAGTATCCTTTGAAACAAAAAAGCAGAAGAAAAACACTATCTTGTGCTGACACACATCCAAAAATACACGTTTCTCAGTAGCAATACATTCGTATTACTAATACTAACCACACACATCACTCAGACAATAGTGTACATACAGACGCAATAAGCCAATCGCTGCTGCTCTAACATTCAGTGAGCTGTGCTGAGAGGTGAGCTGTGATTGGCAGCTGTGGGGGGGCGGGGTCATGTCATCCAGGAAGTGCAATGCTGGTGCAGTGTGGCTGGTGCATGATGTTATCCCGGTGTGATGGGTGACTGTAAAGCTGAAGCTGCTGAGGGAACAGCACCTCAGACGGAGACTGCTGGGAATCCATTACCATTTAAACAAGCGCATTTCCTTGTAAGAGCCATGTTAACTTTTACTTGCAGTTTGTGGTTAGAAGTTTCGGGTTTTTCTTTGTTCCTTCCATTCTAGTTTCCTGTTGATGTGTTTTGTGTTCTCGTGGACTTTTCCTTGTTGGCGATATTGTAGGGACACTAGCTTATTTTAGGATGTAATGATGAGTGATGTTAGAGTTAACTCAGGGGAAAAAAACCTTCTATTCAAACTGACACTAAACTCAGAAGGTAAACCTCAAAAATGCTTTGAAGTCCCTTAACTCTTATATATGGGGGAGTTAGGAGGCAGCTGTCATTTTTAACCAGTTGACATCCGCGGTGTTAAACCCCCTACCCATCCAGGCCATTTTTCAGTATTCAGCGCTGCGGTACTTTAACCTCTTGCCGTCCGCCCGTAGTAAAAAAACGGACGGACGGCACTGCAGCATCTGCGGGTTGCCGTCTCCAGACGGCAATTTTTTTCTGCTCGCGCGCGCCCCCTAGCGGGCACGCACGGGCAGAAAAGACCCGCTAAATGCACACACCCGTTACCGGGTGTTTCACATATAGGCGATCGGCGGG